ACAGGTTGCTGAGTGGACTTCCAAGACTTGGTCCACCATCTATGATGACCCCATAGTCACTCTCCCATTGTCAGTCAACAGGGCCTGTACTGGGTTAGGAAAGTTGTTTCCCCTGTGCTGTTCTTCTGCTGGCTTTCATCCCTCAAAACCAAAAATTGGACTGGATTTTCTTGGGACGGGACACTTTCCAGTCCCAAAGAAAAGCTAGAACTTCCTCTCTCTGATCCTATTTTTAATTCATCGCCAGCCTCATGGATTACAGTAGGATTGACTGTTGTGGATTTTTGCGTTCGTGCTCTGTAGAGAGACATCCTAAACTTTGTCCCAACTGATGTGTGGGATAGAAATGGCTATCCATCATAACTGGAGGAAAGAGAGTTGAAGAAGGCAAGATTTTTCTGCACCCAATGAAGATCTTGGATCTCCCAACTTCAAGGAACCAAGAAGCTGCCCAAGGAACACCTGTTCTGGCCAGCAACACCCTTCCAAGAAATCAGGACATTTCCCAAGGCCCTTCCAGTTTTCTGGAATCATGGGAGATGTTCTGAGACGGCCTTCTTCTCCAGACGGAAGAAACAGGTGTCAAGAAGGACTCAAGCAAAGCTCATCAACCCCCTTGGACTTCTATATCATCTCTCCCAAACTGGTTTCTTCCAGATCATCTAAATTTGACTCATGTTCCAAATCAGAGGTTAAGAACTCATCTCAATGTCCTAGAAGAATGTCCAGATGGAGAATCTGGTTTCATCTCACGGTTTGCTCCATCGTACGTCTGGAAAACTGGGGTGTCCACCTGTAAATCACTGACACCAACTTAAGACCAGGTCCACCCAGTTCGGAACTAGGAGGTCCAGGAGAGAAACATCTCATGAAGTTGTGCAAAATACGGAGGTAGGTCACGATATCTTCACGTTCACGGAGCTTCTGGGGATCATTTGAAGCCACGTGTCTCAAGGTTCAACCTACTCTTGAGAGCCCCACAAAAGGACCGCTCACCACAGCTCTCCTCTCTTGTTTCTTCACTTTTTGGGTGGACCTGTTTCCATTTTTCCAAAAAAAAAAAAAATCCATCCACCCACCCACCCTCAAAAAGTTGAAAATGTCTCTCGTAACAAAAATCCCTGCGTTGGACCCGCAGTAGTGCAAACGAAGAAGGCAGCGTTGCCCGAGGATGACCAAAGCCTGATCACTTCTTGAAGGCGAACAAAGCGGGTTGAACTTTTAAGCCTGGGAGAGGTCTAAAGAAAGAAAGAAGGAAGGCAACGGAAGTCAGAAATCCTTCAGGACAACCAGAAGGGAAACATAGAAAGGTAACCACTTGGCGGTCAACCAAGAGATCCAGTTTGGTCCAGGGGTTAAGGCACAAAATTAGAAACTGGGAGTTCTAGCGCTCTCTTAGACATAAAAAACAGCTGGGTGACTTTGGGCCCTATCACCAGGAGAAAGTGAGTTGTAGTTCTGCCGAAGGCATGAAAACCAGCTGAGACACTTTGGACACCAGGGGAACGGGAGTTCTAGTTTTGCCTTAAGGCATGAAAGCCAGCTGGGTGACTTTGGGCCAATCACCAGGAGACTGGGAGTTGTAGTTCAGACTAAGGCATGAAAACCAGCTGAGACACTTTGGATACCAGGAGACAGGGAGTTCTAGTTTTGCCTATGACATAAAAACCAGCTGGGTGACTTTGGGCCAATCACCAGGAGATTGGGAGTTCTAGTTTTGGCTAAGACATGAAAAACAACTGGGTGACTTTGGGCCAATCACCAGGAGACAGTGAATTGTAGTTCTGCCTACGGCCAGCAGAAAACTGGTAAACAGAGGTGGGGAGAAAGTGGGGTTTCCCCAGGTGAATCCCAGGGGCTACAACACACTCACCTTTGAGGTGCAACTGGCCTGAAACAGAAAGAAAGAGGAAAAACGTATGTTAGTAGCTTAGAGATCAGGGGTCTCCAACCTTGGCAACATTAAGACTTGTGGACTTCAACTCCCAGAATTCCTCAGCCAGCAAAGCTGGCTGAGGAATTCTGGGAGTTGAAGTCCACAAATCTTAATGTTGCAATGGTTGAAGACCCATGGCTTAAATGACAAAATTGTGTGCCGTGGGGTCCATGTTCGTGGCTCAAACTTTTCCAATGTTCTCAACTTTTCCAGATCTCTCTTACAGGGAGTCCTCGACTTACGACGACTCACTTAGCGACCATGCAAAGTTACAACAGCTCTTTTAAAAGAAAAACGGGACGTGGCCCTTTTCACACTGAAAAGACCTTGGCAGCATCCCCACCATCAGGTGGTCAAAATCCAGGCGCTTGGCGACCGATTCGTCATTACGACGGTCTCAGTGCTCTGGAGGGAGTCACGGGATCCCTTCTCGCAACCTCCTGATGAGCGAAGTCAAGGGGAGGGGAGCCAGATTCGCTGAACGACCGGCGACAACCGCGGCAATTCGCTTAGCAACGTGTGATGACCCATGGCCACAATCGGCTAGGCCCCATTACGGTCACTACGCCGAGGACTTCCTATGGCCGGGCAGGAAATGCACGAGGAGGAAAAGGATGGAGAAAGTCAGGGCGCAAAATCGGTGAGGGGTGTGGGGTCTTTTTTGCCCCGGGACTCGGGATTCTAGATCTTCACCCCGCTCGCCGTTCCCGAAGGCCTCGCCGTTCCGGGGCGAACTTACTTGAGCGGTTTGGAGAGGTGGTTGGAGGCCCCGATCCCCGCTGGCTTGGAGCTGGTCGGCGGGACCATCACCAGCAAGGGTGGACTCGGTGAGGAGGCCACGTCCTTCGCCAGAAGGGTCTTGGGTAGGGGTTTGTAGGGTGGTCTGGCCTGAGGATTGACCTACCACGGGGAGAAAACGAGTAAAACAGAAACCGGCGGTCAAAGCAGAGTCAGAAAATAGCCCTGGAAGAGCAAGGGTGAGATTCAAAAAATCCCAGCAACCGGTTCGACGCCCGGTTGCTGGGTGGGCGTGGCCATGGTGGGCGTGGCCTATCAGAACTTCCAAGAGGGCCGTTTTTCACTTTCCCCAGAATCCGGAGGCTTTCCTAAGGCCTCTGGGAGGCTGAAATCTGGTGGCCCTCCGGAAGCCGGAAACAGAGCCGTTTCCGGACTTCTGGAAGGCCCAATTTTTCCCCCTCCCAGAACCTCCATACGGACCCTGCACTTAGCTGCATCCAAAACGGGCCTCCTGGAGACTTCTGGGAGGGGAGGGGCAGGGGGGGCAGTGCCAGCCGGTCAATTCGACTACCGGTTCGATGAACCAAAGGCAAATTTAACATCCGGTTCATGCGAACTGGTTCAAAACCGGCTGAATCCCACCCCCGATGGGAAGACGGCTATCAAGCTATCACCCCTAGTTCCAAACTGTCTAGATCCCACCCCTGTGGAAGGGGCCTTAGAGGCCTTCTAGTCCAACCCCCCCGCTCAATCAGGAGAGTCTGTCCCATTTCAGACAAGTGGCTGTCCGGTCTCTGTTTGAACACCTCCAGGGATGAAGCACCCACAACTTCTAGTGGCAGGCTGTTCCGCTGGTTAGTTGTCCTCCCTGTTAGGAAGTTTCTCCTTAATTCTAAGTTGCTTCTCTCCTTGGTTCGTTTCCATCCGTTGCTTCTTGTCCTCCCATCTGGTGCTTTGGAAAATAGCTGGACCCCCCTCCCCTCTTCAAGTACTGGAAGACTGCTATCATATCACCCCTAGTCCTTCTCTTCGTTAGACAGAAATACACAGTTAGAAGGGACCTTGAAGGAAATGTTATACCATCCCAGACAAACGGTTATCAAGTCTCTTCTTAAAACCCCCCCAGTAAACACGATTTACTGGAGTCTCTGCAGCCAGAGGCTGTTGCAGGTTCTTGGGAGAGTTTTCCTTCAGGCCGGAGAGTAAGTGGAACATTGGGGGGCCACTAAAGGGACTCTGGCTGTGACCGGTTCTCTGGCTGTGTTGCCTTCGTGTCATGCCCTGGGTCATCACAGGCGGTCCCAGAACTGACCACCCCTTACCCACCCACCCCAAGCTAATAAGGCAAATGGGAGCAGGCAACTTACCGGAGGGGGCCTGATGGGGGTGCTCGGAAGGGGCTTCTTCGGAGGGGGCAGTTTGGTGGGACCCCCAAAGCTGCCTTTTGGAGGCATAGCAGGCGATCCATGGAAGGGCGGTGGCCTGGAAGGTTTGAGGTCTCTCTGTAGGGCGGATGCGGGGGCACAGCCAGGCCGTAAGGGTCGTACCACGTTGATAGGGTGGGGGACCCTTTGAGGAGGGCTGGGCTTCAATGTGGAAATGCCTCTGGCTACCTGGGGAGAGAGGAAAAAGAGAGAGGGGAGCGTGAAATTCCCGGCTGAAAATTGCCAGTTGGGTCTAGTTGATGAAAACACCTGGCTAGAAACCAGGAGACGGTGAGTTCTAGTCCCACCTTAGGCATGAAAGCTGGCTGGGCGACTCTGGGCCAATCACCAGAAGATGGTGAATTCTAGTCCATTAAAGCTAGCTGAGTGACCTTAAGCCAATCACCAGGAGACGGGGAGTTCTAGTCCCGCCTTAGGCATGAAAGCCAGTTGGGTGACTTTGGACCAATCACCAGGAGACGGTGAGTTCTAGTCCTGCCTTAGGCATGAAAGCCAGTTGGGTGACTTTGGACCAATCCCCAGGAGACTGGGAGTTCTAGTCCTGCCTTAGGCATGAAAGCCGGCTGGATGACTTTGGGTCAATCACCAGGAGACTGGGAGTTCTAGTCCTCCCTTAGGCATGAAAGGCAGTTGGGTGACTTAGGGCCAATCACCAGGAGACTGGGAGTTCTAGTCCTGCCTTAGGCATGAAAGCCGGTTGGGTGACTTTGGGCTAATCACCAGGCAATGGTGAGTTCTAGTCCCACCTTAGCCATGAAAACCAACTGGGTAATTTTGTGCCAACCACCAGGAGACAATGAATTCCAGTCCCGCCTTAGGCACCTGCTGGGTGTCTTTCAGCCAATCACTAGGAGACGGTGAGTTCTAGTCCCACCTTAGCCATGAAAGCCAGCTGGGTGACTTTGGGCCAATCACCAGGAGACGGTGAGTTCTAGTCCTGTCTGATGCCTTAACCACAACACCAAACTGGCTCTCTATCAAAATATTAGGGCACTACTTATAGGTAGTCCTCGACTTACGACCATAACTGAAAGCAGGATTTCAGCTGCTAAGCAAGGTGTTTAAGTGTGTCATTTCCAATTTTGCAAACTTTTTACCACCGTTGTTAAGTGAATCAGGCAGTCATTGAACAAATCTGCCTTCTCCCATTAAAACTCTGCTTATCGGAAATGCGGCTGGGCATGTCACAAAAGGAGAACAGGTGACCCCGGCAACCGGCAACCGTGATAAGTACATGCCAGTTGCCAAGCGTCCAAATTTCAATCACGTGGCCGCGGGAGTGCTCCAACGGTCATAAAAAAGAGAGAAAACTGTTCCTCGGTTGCTTTTTTCAGGGCTGTTGTAACTTTGGACCATCGTTAAATGAATGGTTCTAAGCCGAGGACCACCTGTAGCGTGCAGCTCCAGACTGTGGATCACATCATTTTCACAACTCAGATTAACCGATAATCAGAGTTGGAAGAGACCTTGTAGGTCATCTAGTCCAACCCCCTTCCCAAGCAGGAAACCCTACACCATTTCTGACAGATGGGAGTCCAATTTCTTCTTGAAGGTCTCAAGTGATGAAGCTCCCACAACTTCCAAGGGCAATTTCTGTTCCATAGGTGGATTGTTCTCACTGTCAGAAAGTTTCTTCTTATTTCCAGGTTGAATCTCTCCTGGTTCAGTTTCCATCCATTATTCCAGGTGGTTTAGAAAATAGCTTGACCCCTTCCTCCTCCTCTCTGGGGCAGCCCCTCAAATATTGGAAGATGCTCTCCTGTCTCCCCTGGTCCTTCTCTTCCCTAGACTAGCCAGGCCCAGATCCTGTAAACATTATCCCTATGTTTCAGCCTTCAGTCCCCTCATCATCCTGGTTGCTCTTCTCTGCCCTTTTTCTAGAGTCTCAACCTCTTTTTTATAGTGTGGTGACCAAAACTGGATGCAGGACTCTAGACGTGGCCTTACTAAGGCTTCATAGAGCAGTATTAGTACCTCCCTTGATCCAGTGAAGATATTAGCACCCATCTGGAGAGATTCCTTCTCCCTTCCTCTGCCTGGCTTCAGGAAGGGACCTTGGAGGTCTTCTAGTCCAACCCCCAGCACAAGCAGGAAATCCTATACAGTTAGTCCTCGACTTACAATGACAATGGAGTCCAGTGTCTATGTTGTTAAGTGAGAAAAATCTGTTGTAAGCTTTGCTCCGTTTTACAACCTCTCTTGCCACCGATGTTAAATGAAATGTTAAACATCTTTTTTATTGCACAGTGACCAAAACTGGGTGCAGGACTCTAGGTGCGGCCTTACTAAGGCTTTATAGAGTGGTATTAGTACCTCCCTTGATCTCAATTGTATCCCTCTGTTAATGCAACTTAGGATTGCATTGGATTTTTTGGCTGCTGCTGCACTTTGTTGGCTCCTATTTAGCTGGTTGTCCACTAAGACTCCGAGATCCCTCTCCCAGTTCCTGCTATTGAGCCTGGTTTCACCCAGTCTACCTGGGTCCTTTGGGTTTTTCCTGCCTAAGTGTAGGACTTTCCTTTTCTCTACATTCTCTCAACTGAACCAACATCTCTGAACGGAGTCAATAATTTGAATCAAAGCAGGCGTGAAACTATTTAATTTCAAGTCAACTTTACTCGTTACGCAAATTTCCACTCTGCTGCTGCTACACTCCCGCCCCTCAAAATAACCCACACACACATTTGCCAGCTTAAGCAAAACCTAGCACAACAATTTAAACACCCAATGGATGGTTTTTAGTTCAAAAGGATCAAACCGCATGGATTGACTCTCTCCAAATCAGCCGGATAAATCTGAATTAAGCCAATGGCCCAAACTCAGCCAGAAATGATTCTCTGCCCTTCTGTCAGCGGCAAATGGTGGATCCGCTAAAATTATTATCAACTGCTTTACTATTTCACGCCGTGACAGCTCTGGCTTAAAAGCTGCGGTTTTTGTACGCTGAATTTTTAAACAGATTTAACAGAGTTGGAAGGGACCTTGTAGGCGCTGAACCAGTGGTGGGATTCAAACATTTTTTACTACCGGTTCTGTGGGCGTGGCTTGGTGGGCGTGGCAGGGGAAGGATGTACTGCAAAATCCCCCTTCTCTCCCCCTCCCCACTGACCTGCTTTCCAGCTCCGTTCTCCTGTGCAGGGCAACCAAAGGAGACCCAGCCGATCAGCTGGGACTCAAAGGGAGGCAGAGAAGAGATGGGGGTTGGCGGGGACAGTCAGAGGTGGGATTGGCCGGTTCTCCCAACTACTCAAATTTTCTGCTACTGGTTCTCCAGAGCCTGTTAGAACCTGCTGAATCCCACCTCTGCACTGGACCCAGGTGTTCCTCCTCTTCCTCATCAGCCACCTCTAGACCTGGGGGCTGTTGACTCTCCATCTGAGGGCTGATGGACGGCCCAGGCTCCACATCTCTACCATTCTCTTCCTCCCTCTCCATCTCTCCCTCCTTCCCTCTCCCCCTCTCTCTCTCTTTCTCTTCCTCTCCCTCTCTCTTTCTCTCCCTCTTTGTCCCTCTCTCACTCCCTCTCTTTCTCTCCCTCTCCCTCTCTTTCTCTCCCTCCCTCCTCTCCCTCTCCATCTCCCCCTCTCTCTTTCTCTCCCTCCCTCCCCCTCCCTCTTTCTCTCTCCCTCTCTTTCTCTCCCTCTCTCTCTTTCTCTCCCTCCCTCCTTCTCCCTTTCTCTCCCTCTCTCTTTCTCTCCCTCTCCCTTTCTCCCTCCCTCTCTCCCTTTCTCTCCCTCTCCCTCTCTGTCTCCTTCTCTCTCCCTCTCTCTTTCTCTCTCTCCCTCTCTCCCAGCTCCATTCCCTCTTCCCACTCTCACGTCTCCTCCTCCTCTGCTGCAGGGGGCCGGCGGCCCACATGCCACAACACACTCAGTCAAAGTAGAAGAGAAGAGAAACCCTGAGCACAGAATACAAGGAGTCCTGGACTCACACCCATTCATTTAGAGACCGTACAAAGTTACAGCAGCCCTGAAAAAAAGCAACATACGGCTGTTTTTCACACTTACGACCGTTGCAGCATCGCCAGGGTCACGTGATCCAACCCTGGGCAAGTAGTTCATGTTTATGATGGTGTCTCATGGTTTTAGGATCCCCTTTGGCGACCTGATGACAAGCAAAATCCGCAGGGAAAGCCCGATTCGCTTAACAACCGGGTGACTAACTTATCAACTGCAGTGATTTGCTTAACAACGGTGGCAAGAAAAGTCGTAAAAGAAGGCAAAGTCCATTTAAGCCACGGTCTGACTTAGCCATGGAAATTTTGTGTGTGTGTGTGTGTGTTCAGTTGTGGTCGTAAGTTGAGGACTACCGATTTGATTACCAGCATTCCAACGACTGCAAGGGTGTTGGTGCTGAGCGGGGTTGAGTTCATTTACCTGGCTGGTAACGCTGCATTTCACTTTGTTAGTGGAGGAAATATCCTGCAGGATGAAGGCGGAATTTGAGTGACCGTGACTTGTTTTCTGATGGACAATTCCGTTCCTGTTGCAAAAAACAGAAAATGAAAGAATAAGACCCTTTTGTGATGACCCAAAGGAGCGTGGCCCAAAGGCAACACAGCCAGATAATCAATAAGAGTCCCTTTATTAGCTCCAACTTTGCCCCCAGTGTCCTGGTTACCTTCTGGGCTGGAGAAAAACTCTCCCAGGAACAGCCTTTAGATGCAGAGAATCAAGTCCAAAACAGGGTAAACACAAACTGTAACTTAAAGTCCAGTCAAGGCAAAATAATTAATCCGGCAGGGAAGGAGAAGGAATTCCAGATGTGAAGGAACAGCAGTAATTCAATATGGTTGGGAAGATGCCAGGAACGCAGATAAGCAAAGTTGACACAAAATAAACTCATGTTTGCTCCCAGCAGCTGCCATGCTCAGCTTGCATCTCTTTTTAAACTCCCTTCCCAAGTGTGGCTAATGAAGGGAATCAGGGCCCTTTCCTCGCCCATAAGCCATGCAACCCACGTTGCTCCCTTGTTAGGAATATAAGTCACCTAACAGCTATTTGGGTTAGAAATATATAAACCAGGGTAAACATTTTAAAACTGTTATCTTTAAGAAAATGCA